TCTGCTGGAGATGAGGTTTTCCAGGCATGAGCGTGCAGGCAGGAGGAGGCACTCACTGCCCTAATTACAGCCCTTCTGCAGAGCCAAATGGGAGTCAAGCAACCAATGAGTGAAAAACTTCAACGCAGCAGAGGAAAAAGAAGCAGTGAACTGCTGAAGGGAGAGCTAAAGCTGCCTTTAATTCCCCAGGGCTGGGATGGCCAAGTGTCTGCCTGTCTGGATGCCCACCTCCAAGCTTTCTGCCCATAGAGGGGTGAGCAGGTGCTGCCCCATGAAGCCCCTTGGTCCCACTGAGCTCAGCCAGGCTCCTAGATAGTGCTGACAGCACAGAGATGGGGTTCATCTCTGTTCCTAGATCAAGTTCCCTTCCTCCTCCAGTGACTGAATACTGCTTTGGGTGGAGGGTACCAACCTTTGTGTTCCTGGGGCATTGTGAGGATGGAGGAAGCAACTGTCCTTGCAAACTGAACACTGTGACAGACCCTGGGAAGGAGTAGTGATGGGCGAGGTGGCACAAGAAGTAGCATTCAGGGAGCCTTGCTCATGCAAGGCCTGGGTAAGTGCTGTTGAATGAGAGCAGCTGCGTTGTCATGGGGAGAACAAAGCAAAGAAATAGCAGGAATAAAGTCCCTGATTCAAGGGTTTCAAAAGCAATCAGGGACTTCACAGAATCATATTAAAGTTAATTAATGTGGCCTGGGTTGCAGGAGCTCTGTTGAAGCCAGTGCTGGAGGATGTGGCCACAAGCTTGCTATGGCAGCCCCCCCACCACCCCCGGAGCACTTTCTGCAAGAGCAGCTGCGTTGTCATGGGGAGAACAAAGCAAAGAAATAGCAGGAATAAAGTCCCTGATTCAAGGGTTTCAAAAGCAATCAGGGACTTCACAGAATCATATTAAAGTTAATTAATGTGGCCTGGGTTGCAGGAGCTCTGTTGAAGCCAGTGCTGGAGGATGTGGCCACAAGCTTGCTATGGCAGCCCCCTGCCCACCCCAGTAGCCATTCTTGCAGCTCCAAGGTCGTCACAGCATAAACAAGGGCACAGCTTGGCACACGATACAGAAGGAGAAGACAGATTATGTCGCATCTGGGAAAGAACCTGCTTAGTCACTGGGATGGGTCAGGAAACAGCCTTTGTAGAGTGACCCCAGCACGCCCCAGCCTGGTGCCACTTTCCTAGGGGCAACACTGTGTACTAAATGCAACTCCCCCTCCCCTGAGTCCTCCTGGAGCAGTGATGGGGGGTGAGTGAGGTGACCCTGAAAGCCCTGGAGCCTTCTCCTCCCTGGGAAAGCAAGGAGGGGCTTGGAAGACCCTGTCAGTGCCGGTGCACCCCAGCCACATGCACAGCATGCCCCATGCGTGGTGAGCACTAGCAGCATGGCACCCTCCTGCCCCAGGGCTGTGGGCTGAGGGGGAACACAGGCCGTCAGTGCGTGGGAAAAAATGGGAACCAAAATGTAGAACGCTGGGTCATGGTGGTGGTGTTTTACATGGAAGTGGTGACTGGAAGTGGCTGTGGAGAGTGTCCAGGGGAGGCTGGGCATACTTGCCAACACGTGCAGCTTCCTCCTGCCTGTGGTGCAGGCAGCAGCGGGGTTGTTTTACAGACAGCCTTGAAGGTCTTGAGGGGGAATGTGCAGGCCAGGCTCGACTCTGCCCTCTCGTCTTGGTGGGGTTTAACCCCTCAGTCTGTTCACTCTGGACCTCACAGAATCACCGAGGCTGGAAAAGACCTTTATGATCATCAAGTCCAGCCTATGACCTAACACCACCACATCAGCTGGACCATGGCACTAAGTGCCGCGTCCAGCCTTTCCTTGAACACATTCAGGGATGGTGCCTCCACCACTTCCCTGAGCAGTCCGTTCCGATATCTAATCACCCTTTCCATGAGGAAGTACTTCTTAAATATCCAACCTAAACCTCCCGTGGCACAGCTTCAGGCCAGGCCATCTCATCTTATCTATGGTTGCCTGGGAGGACAGCCCAGCCCCCACCTGACTGCAGCCTCCCTTCAGGTAGTTGTAGAGACTGATAAGGTCCCCCCTGAGACTCCTCGGGGCTCGACAACCCCAGCTCCCTCTGCCTCTCCCCATAAGACTTTCCCTCTAGACCCTTCACCAGCCTTGTTGCTCTCCTCTGGACCCGCCCCAGCACCTCAATATCCTTCTTGAACTGAAGGGCCCACCTCACTCGTGCAGGACCTCGTCCTGCTCCAACTCATTCCATATCCCAGAAGTGGTGCCTGGGTCCTCCCTGGAGGTGGCTTGTGACCCCAGCAGGGAGTTGAGCTGGCAACAGCTGCCAAAATCTCAGGGTCTTGCCCTGAAATCTCAGCCTGTCCCTAAGTGGATGCCAGCACCCCAGGGAGCCCTGTCCTGAGGCTCCCCAAACCTGTGTGCCAGCCCAAGGCAGCCCCAAAACCTCCCAAGCCCCTCCATGCTTCTCAGCTCCCCTCAGCCCTAGCAGATGTTTCTCTAGGGGTGACACATGTCCATACCTCAGTGTCCTCATCTTGTGCAAATGCCATGTTGGCCTTTCTTGCTTGCCCCCAACCCCTGGTTCTTCAGGCCCGTAAAGCAGCTGGAAGAGGCTGATGGGCAAGGACGGGGGGGCTGAGGGTGGCAAAAGCGACAGCAAGGAGCCCTCAAGGGTTAACAGCTCAGCAGCAGCGACTCCAGCACGGCTGGGAAGGAGGAATCTGAGTCAATTATTCCCGGTCTTGGAAATCATGGGCTTCTCTTCTTTTTTGCCTTTCTTTTTTTTTTTTTTATTGTGCAAGTATAGCTAGTGCTGCTTGCTGCCCTCCATCCGTGGGAGCAGAAAGCCTGTTGATTTATATGGTTTTCCTTACATCACATGAAGTGGTGGAAAACTGAATGAAGCCAACATTTTTCCTGCATTACGTAATGCCCCCTCCCTCCCAGCCCAGCTCTGCTATTCCTGCAGGAGCTTGACTGTTCTTTAACCTTTGTTTACTTCAGCACAAACCCTCACTTTTTTTTTTTTTTTTTTTGTTTTTTTTGGTTTTTATGAACAGCCATTATGTGTTTATGAAGCAGCAGCAGCAGCGTTATGGCTCCTGATGCCAGCTCTTATGTTGGAACCCAGCCAGCACCACAGCATGGCGCAGAGCTGCTGAGGGCTGAGCTTACCAGCTCCTCTGCATTTGTCCAGCTGCAGCAGAGGGTGGAGAGACCTTCCTTTGCAGTTATAAATGACAGCTGAGAGCCTGAGATGCTTGTCCAGATGATGCTCAGGCATTCTGTCCCTAATCCTGGTCCTTGAGCCGAGCACCAGGCCCCTCTCTCTTGTGCCCAGAGCCAAATGCAAGCCCGAGACGAAGCTGGGGTGGCCATGTGGGCAGCAGCAGTGGTCCCCACAGCCCAGACCACTGGGGTTGGGAACCCTCTTGCATGGCAGAGACTAATTTTCATTGTGGTTTCATGTGCTGGGAAAGCTTTATCATTGTGATATCACTCTCTGACCTGAAACAGGCCCCTCTCTTGCGTTCTGAACTCCAGTCATGAGCTTTTCATCTGGCTCGGGAGCATGTGTGAGATCATCTTCACCCCCCCCCTTTTGTACCAATTCTTCAAGGAATGTTTAAATTTTCCAGTCCTGTTCTTTCTAAATTTGGAATGTCTGTTTACTCCCAGGATTCGGAAAGAATGTAACAGTATCATCAGGGAGAAATCCCTCCCAGCCCTCTGCTCGCCATTCTCCTCCTTGGTGAGCAGGCAGCTCTGGCCATGACCCAGGTCCTGTCCAACCTGGCAGTGCTATGACCAGCCAGCACAGCTGGGGAGAGCTGTAACTGCACTGTGGCTGAGATTTGGGGGATTTTGTGGGAGTTTGCCAAAGGCAGGTGGCTTCAGAACAGACAAAATGAAGTAGTGAAAAAGGAAAGGGGATTTCCAGTCCAGGAGCTGACTGGAGCTGCCCAGGCAGGAGTGGGTTCAGCACTGGCTGGAATTTTTTTAGAAACAGATTAATTCAATAAAAATAAATAATGAAAAGAATCACTACTTCTTCTTTTGTTGTTGCATAGAGACAGTCTTAAAAAGAGGTCAACATCAGGGCAGCTAAATGTGACTTTGTGCATCCTTGGCTGAAAATTCCATGGTGCTTTTGCGTGTTGTGTTGGTGTGAAGCCACATGCCAGCATCACATCTCCTTTGCTGTGTGCTCCTCTTGAAACACATTGTGCTGCGCCTGTTTTAGAAGAGATTAATGAAAAAAGCCTAGCTAGGCAGGTACAAAAGCAATGCATAGGCAGGGCAGAACAGAAGGTACTTGCTTCTAATCAGAATCCCAGGGGCTGGAGGCAGCACGTACATCCAAAAGGCAGCAAAAATACAAATTAATCTGCAAAACTTGTGGTGTCTGACATGGAAGGTAAAACCTAAGCAGTATCCAAAAGCAAGATCGAAGTGTCTTTACAAAGCAAATGTAAGAAAAAATAATCTAGAATGTAAGAAAGAAAATACCCTGAACACCCACACTTTAGTCATCAGTCTGAAGCTG